AAGTTGTTGTCGGATATTAAAATAACAAATATGAATAACTCGCAAAATAGCAATGTTTGATAAAATAATTTAGTACTTTGCTTTCTCCCAATTTAACCTCTTTTGTGGTAGGTACTCGATAATGCAATTATGTAAAACTAATTAGACTAATTCTCAACAGGGTAGTGCTGAAATCACAGCTGCATTAATATATTCCTAAATTAACAAACCTGCATAAACTATGATCATACAAGTTGGATTGGTAACTTGACTTTATTTAATTTTTATTACAAAAAGTAACAAACTTATACTAATTAAATTCACTTACTGTGTCTTATACTCACATCACAGTATTATTGTAAATATTAACTTTAATAAAATATGCATGGTGCTGAATTGGCTAGGGATTAAAAACTAGAAATGTAAATTTTTTATCGAGCTTTCCATACCCATGTCAGGCTTTTTGCGTATTCTTGTAAAGAGTGTAGAAATTAGCTTAAAAATGCTGTTGTTCTGTTTTGTTGGAAGTTCAGACAAAAACAAAATTACATCTCTAAACTCACTGTTTAAAGTGTATTCTGATAAATAGGGTAAACCAGGGTGATATGGTGAACAAAAAAATTGAGCCCTGTAGAACACAAGAAACTGGTTTACCCTACACTTTGTAGGTATGTACTTTTTTACAACTGAGGTGCTTGATGAATGAACACGATGTTGTGTTAGTTGTTATTATAACGAATTAAAAAAGGAAACTGAGCTACCTATTGGGTTGAAATCTAATAAAGCATTTAGACTAAAATGTTGTCGTTTTTAGTGGATTTCTTAAAAGTAACAGTTTTGTTGTAAAATTTATTAAAAAAGTTAAATGCATTGTTTTTGTCTACATTATTTCTTATTTTTTCCTTTCGTTTGTAGTGTTTTTATTTGTTTTTGTTTTATTTACATTATATTTTTTTTCTATAGCAGATGTTAAACTATTTCTTTATAAACTCTTTTGAGTATAGATAAAGTAGTACTTTAACCGCAAGGGTAGATAAAGTAGCACTTTACCACCAAGGGTAGATAAAATGATTTAACTTATTTTATTCATTTAAATTTACAAATTTTATCATCCACGAGGTGGAATAAAGTGTCAGATTTACACTCAAACGAGTTGAATGCAACATTTAATTCTTCGAATTAGACTCAACAAGGTTTAAAATTGCTTTAAATCTGTTTTAAAAATAATCTAACGTTTTGTATTGAGAAATGCCAAACATTGTATTTTTTTGAAATCTTATGAAATCTTATTTTTTCTCTTAAACTTTAAGTCCTGCTACAGAAAAAAATGTTGTATTATACACGACAATAATCGAATTTCTTTATGGTCTTGTATAATAAATAGCTATAATGCTTTTAGTTTCTGATAAAAGGTAATATAACAAAAATACGAGTAATTACCACACGATCAAGCTTTAAACACCACAAATTCTCAACTTCTTTAATCAGCTTCAACAAGCATATACATAATTATAGCTTGAAGAACTTGTAACTAAGTCTTAGTTAATTATAGATAAAATTTACATACATCAAAGTACAAGCAAATGGGGTAAAAAGAGCTGGACTCGTTTCATGTAAAGTCTTTGTCTAGTGGATCTTAAAAACGCCTGACAGCATTCTATAAAAACTAATTACTATAGTATTTTAATTAACGTTGTTTACTAGAACTTTCAATCATTTTTGTCCCGCTTTACCTTTATTAAAGTAACAGTAACACTTTGCTAATTATAGTAGTCACTAACATTATTAAACTTGTCAAAATACTTGAGCTAGGGATCTTAGGTAAACACCCTGTCTGCATTAAGGTGATGATGTCGTAGGTGTTTTTACACCCGACAATCAACATAATGGGAATGTTTCGAATTTTGAGTTTGTTAGGCACAGATAACAAGTGTTTGAAAGGACTCGCATCTTTAGTTACTCCAATCTTGGTGTATTGTCGACTGAGTAAAGATATTGCGGAAATGCCTCTTCTTTAAGGCGTCATCCCTAGAGTATAAACCCATCTCATAGCAATCTATACAGATATATTCGTTTAGCTTTTTCCGGGGACTTTTCCTCTTGCAAAGTAAATTCGATATAATCTTCCCTATGGGAATGCGGTTAATGTATGATATAACCCCATATTTTAATTTTCCTCGTTTCATTGAAAAGACTTGCGAATAAGGCCTGTTCGAAGTTCATCTACATATTTTAAATTTTTCAACGGTTTATTCAATGACCTAGTGCACGCTTTGGATGAGAAAGCTCTCGTGAAATATTAAATTTTCTCGAAAAGAATCACTAAAAATTTAATAACTTCTAAAAAAAAAAACATAGTATCGATCAATTAAAAGTTGGTATACCTGTAATTAAATTAAGGACGTTTCAAACTCATTAAAAAACTGAAAGGAATGAAAAATCAAGCGTTAATTAATTTTCCAAGCAAAGTCGCTGAACTTTTTTGCTATGACAAATATATCCATTCTCGTGATTAAATCTAAGTCAATAAATTTCAGTTACACACTTGAATTATTCTTTAGCACGAAAACAATAAATTTATTGGTTTCCGTCGAGTATGTGGGTATTTATGAAAATTTAATCATTAATTTGTGTCAATGTTTTTTCTTCATTACCATAAGAGAATATCGGAAATATTTATCTTGATTGCAGCGTGATATTTTGGCCACAGGTAGAGTAAATCACACAATGAACATCAATTTTCTTTATACGTTTTGCGTCTAAATGTGAACATTTTCCCCCAAAGTTCACCCTGACATTTTTATTTAGATTTGTTCCATTTTAGCGATGTGTAAATCCTTTTTTTCATTCCATCGAGCAGTTCAAAAGGAGATTCGTTTTTAATACATCCATCGCCCTCATATTAAAAACGGTGTAATTCAAAATCGATCCAACCAATGCATATTCATCACAACCGTCAACTTTGTGTAAATCATTTTAATTGGCCGAATCGCAATCACAAGTCTTTTGATGTTAGGTTTTTGCCAACGAAATGCGAGGTATAATTTATGCAAAAAGAGCTAAATTTAGAATAAACAAGAATGTTGGATTTATTAAAGTAAAACTTGTGAGTGCAAAAATTATCATTGTATCAAGTCTACTAACCGCACAACTGTTCCCAAACGAGTTCCCAAAGGTCTGACACAGCTTCAGATTTTATTAAAAAAAAAACATATTGCCTTAATACTAATACAGAGACTGTCTAGATAAAATTGTGGAACTAGACGCTACGAGTGTGTTATCCCAAACACAGCTAAAGATAAACAAAATTAGTGTTCTACTCGTATATTGCTACTATTCTCATTGTTAGCTACAACGTTTTTTTTTTCTTTTGAGTTCAAATTATTTTAAATTTAAACAGTTTCTTGTTTTATAGGGCAAAACGCATTAAATTTGCATTCTATCAATAATTCAATACCATTTTACATTCAGTACTAAATTACCCCAAAAATTAATTAGTTGTTAAAGTTGTTTACAAATAATCCAAATGAAAGTTTTATTCTTAAAACTTTTGCCCGAGTGTTGAGTTCAGCGGATATTCAAGTCGGCAATATAAAATGTTTAAAGCGTTAGATGGATTCCTCCGCCTCATTAATTATTATTGAGGTAAAACGTGTCAACTTTGCTTATTTATTATTTGTGCAATAATGGTTACGAATGTAATGTGGCTCAAGCAAGTACTTTTGTCTCATCATGAAAGAGGAAATTTTCATAGACTATTGGGTGTTTGCATTTAAATATAAAAAAAATATTATTTTGTAGTTTACAAAAAACGGAAACTACATTTTTACCAATTAAAAGAAAGATATTTCTATTCCTACAAAGTTTATTTTACTTTTTGATAAATTTCGTATTCTTGATTTAATGATCTGTCTAAAATGCGTCTTGAAAATGATTTCTGTTTGAGAGGCACGTTCAGTAGCAGAAAAAATATTGTTTGTTTCTAAAATCACCTACTTATCAAGTGAAATAATTTTATCTGCACATTAGATTTTTTTCTTGTGAAAAACCATCAAATAATACTATTCTAATAATAGTAGTTGTGATGTTCTGTTCAAAATAATACGATTACAGGCACCTGTTGAGATAAGATTAAAAATGTAGGTTCTTGTTCCATTTATACATACGATTTTTTATTTCGTAGACTGTCAATAGCCTAGACTTCATCTCATCAGATTTAAAAAAAAAAACGCTTTTAGTTTAGAATGTGTGCCCGGATAGGTGAAATAACTCTTGTATAAAAACTTTCGATGTAAATTTTCATTTTTTTGGGTTCAGTGCTACTTGGTTTAATTAATTAATTTCTAACATAATTTTAGTTTTGAAATATCAAGTATGCCTTAGAAATTTTCAAAAAAACTATTTTTCTGTAGAATAAAAGTGCCTGTTGTGTGCAAATGCGATAAAGTGTTATTAAGAAAAGTTGTTTAGGATCAACATTTAGGCCCCTATACCAAATTGCAAAATCATCGGCTTTCTATGATTTTTATATTTTTTTACAGTATACTTAATTGCTTTCTATTAACAAATACGTCAAAAAGTTATTTAGTGCTAATAATCTAAATATAAATTTATTTTATTCGTAATAAAAGAACTGTTGAAATAAAAATCTATGATTTGTGAAATAATAAACAAAAAAATTAGAAATCAAAGTTGGCAAAACAACTTTTTTTAACAACTCTTTGTCGTATTTGCCACCTACAAAAAAATAGGTTTTTTGAAAAATGTTTCATACTTAATTTTTCAAAAATTATGCTAGAAATTAATCTTTAACCAAGTAGAGCTGAATGCCAAAAAATAAAAAGTTAAATCGAAAATTTTTATCTTTCATCTATCCGGGGACACCCTGTATTTAAAAAGTTATACATACAGGTGCCCGTTTTTAGAGCTCCACCATCTCAGTTATTATAAGTCGGTTAAACTAGCGCAAAGTTGCGCATTTTAAAAATATAACAAGGGGGTTTCATTATTATTAAAACAAATCGAATTTGAACAAATAAATTTAATAAATTATTACAAGAGATTAATACTAAAATGTATCACATCTTGAATAAAAAGCAATTTTCAAACATGGTTACAATGAGATACACGTCACATTACATGATAAAATACTACTGCTGAGTTTCCATACAGGCGAGCCACCACGGGACAAATATACACTTTTATTACACCTATGATAACAAAAATACACTTCAGCCATCAAACATGTTTATTTGTTAATAAAAAAATTTAGATTTAACTGATTGACACTTTTTTGCTCATTTGTGTGAAAACTAGCCTTAAGGTAAAGCTATACTTTTCCAAAAATATCACAGAGCTTCTTAAATAAAAAAATTAAGTATTCATTCAAAAAGGAAAATCAATTATTAATCTCCATTACAATTAACATCGGCAAACTCTGTCCCTAACCACCCCACACAAATGCAGTAATGTTGAAACAGCTGAATCAGCAATTCCTGTTCATCTAGAAACTCAATTTTCTCGATTCGCTGTCGTTCAGACGCAGGCAAGTCATAGTAGATTTGTACCATGTCCCAGGCCTTAGCCCCCTGCCAGTTATTATCCAAAAAGCGGCCTTTTTGCGTTTCCAGACTTTTACAAAATGAAATTCCGGCCAAATTGCAGCCTCGCGCCCTCAAATTCCCCAACATCACGTCCCCGAACGTATCATTCATGTTACACATCTCGTAGTTTACAAACAAGGCCGACTTGAATTTACTCGCGATCCACGCCAATAACCTATTCACACAATCATTCTCCATGTACACTAACACACATTCGGCGATAAACAGCGTGGGGGTAGCAAAACAGACTTCAGCTTGCTGCAGTTTAGACTCCACCTGTGATATGTTCCTCAGATCAGCCCCCATGCAGTGGTAGTTCCCTGCATGTAAATCGGTGGCGCTCAGCTTGACCTCGCCGTCTTGCTCGTGGATGCGCTCCAGGAGATGCTTGTTCCGTTTTATTGCGTAGCATTTGCGTGCAGTGACTGTGGGAAAGTCAATTTCAATATAATTGGCTATGTAGACTCCCTGGTCCTTCAGTTTCCAATACAAGGTGTCAAAACCGGCACCCAAGTTCACGATTTGTGACGAAGCCCCCGCTTTCTTCAAAAACAACTTGATAAAGCGCTCGACGCCCTTGACTCGGGCATAGTAGCCTCGATTGATTTCGGGGGCGCGTTTCTCGATTTGACGGACGAAAAATGGGATGTAGCTGTCTTGCCAATAGCCGAGTTCCACTGCGCCCCTCTTGCATTCGCTGGCGTCGTCGTTTGTGGCCATAACCGGATCGTCGTTCATTTTGACGGCTTTCTGAAAGGAAAAAGTAAGGTTAGGGGTAGCTGTCACAAGGTTGGGCTGTCAGAATTGACGACCAGATGGAATTTCTTTTTATCTTTTTTTGTTTGAAACTTACTTTGGTAATGAAGTACAATTTGCGTTGGTTTTGATGTCTTAACGGTCACAGTCACTGATAACTTGCTTGGTAAAGGTGCACCATCTGATCTATTTTAGGCATTTAGGCAACCAACCACGCACGCGCGTGTTCGGTCTTCGATCGGCTGCCCGCGCGTTTTCAACAATTCTTTTTAATCATTTTTGCGCAAAATTTAATAAACTCCGGTTCAAAACACTGAAACGGTATTTAATAAAAAAAATCTAATGATGTGGCTTAAAACGGACTGGTGGTTGAGACAATATTAGCTCAATCCTAATTTCTTTTTTCGAGGAAACATTCACAAAAGAATTATTTACTTTTCCGTGAATTTCATTTATTTTATTTTTTGTACCAATTTAAAAAATAAAGTACTTTCGGTGTCTCAATCTCACAGACTTACTAATAATCTAATACCTTCGGGACTCGACAAAATAGACGTTTTCCGAGATTGTAAAAATAATAATCTTTGACCTAAAAAGGTCGAGCGACTTGGCTTCTATCTACAGAAAACACGAATTAAAAAATAAGCAATTTGGCTTCTAGCCCAAATTATGTAATATGTTTTTGTTGACTAGAAAAGCAGCTTAGTGAAAGAATTAAATTGCCAACTATTGAAGTGGTGAGGTAAATTAGGTCCGATAGAAAATCCATATTTCTAGCAAGAATATTGCCCGTCAGCCAAATTTCCGAGCAAACTGTACTAAATTGCGCCACTTGACAATGCGAAACTTTTTTATATCTGCACTACGTGCCAACACCAAGATAATAAAAGAATTTAAACACTGTCCGAATATTTTTAAAATTCCAACGTTAAAATTTTCTTTTTCTGCTTCACGCAAATGGCACAAAATGCCTTTCAAACATTTCATGGAACTAAAGCCGTTTACGAATTAATTCAATTAAGATTCACTGGCTGCTAGTATCATAAAATTTTCACTTAACTTGATTAGCTGAAAATTAAGTGGCAATCGACTCTGGATACCGGATGTGTTCTCTAACGACTTTTCGGAACATAGTTTGCGGTTGGACAAGCTTTTGCATGCTCACTGCACCCAATTTGTGCCCGAATTCAGATATCTGAAATAAATAATTCATTTTTCAATCTGACTAGAAATAGCTGCCAAATCTCGTCAAATCCAATTCGGCTTAACGCCGCAGCATACATCAATTAAAATTCTTTGAGTAAAACGTTCCAAACTCAATTAAACTTGAATGCAGAGAACGATGAGTAAGCGAAGGCTATTAAGGTAGCGTTTTCTTGCGGAAACGCTATTCTAGATTACGTTACGGTATCTTCCCCTTTAGAAATTCTGTGGACAAGTTTGCCCACACTGTAAATATTTATTAGATCCCTAAGACCTTTAAAGTTGCGTCTTAATGTATCGCCTCAACCAAAGAGGATTATTAATTAAAATTTTACACAAGAATTATTTTCCGTTTTTCTTCTTAGTTAAAACGTGAGGTTTCAGTACAAAAGAAATGGTTCTTATATTAAGGAAATATTTTTGTTATTGTTAGGATAACGATCTCTGAAAGCACTGAATTATTAATGAACTATAATTCCTAAATCGATAAAATTTCTTTGATGAAACTCAGAAGTTTTTTAAGTCAACAAATTACTTTTAAAACTCACTGCAATCTTGTTAGAAGCATACACAACGAATTGAAATTCATATCAAGTCGTAAAAGTGCAAATGTACATTTGGTTGAATCATAAAACCAATTTGCCAACAGGTCAAATAGGTGTTGTTATTACGGCCAATTTTCATTTCATTTCCTTTTTCATTTTGTTTTTTTTTAATACACTTTCTTGAATCCTGACAGATGAATGTATTGTATGGTTTTTCAATTCAAAGTATGCCTTTAAAATGTATCACATTTTAAAATGATAAGCCTACCAACGTGTGACAGTATAGCATTTTTTTGAAAGTTTATTGGAAAGCTGCAAGGTAAAGCTTTAGACGTATTCAGTTCAAGACGTTCAAAAGCCATTCACAAGGATCACGAAATTTTATTTAAAAAATGTAAAGTGGATGTAAAATATACATACTTGGGTTGAAAATTTTTTAGAAAGTGACAATGTTCTTGCCAAAGTCAGTTTGCAAGATATATTAAAACGTTGGTTTCTAACTGGATGAAATATGTTCAATTTAAAAAATGTTTCCATTTGATGTAAAAATGATGGATTATGTTTAATTTGCATGAAAGTTGTTAAAGCTCACGCTGAAATATGACTGAAAATTTATAGGATTTATCAGACAGGTCTATTAGGGGGTACCTAAAAAACAAATGATTTAGTGATTGTAGAGCCGATAGTGAAAATTTAATGCCAGGAAAGCTCCCTTTTGCTGTCTAATAGGTTTCTTATCGAACTGAAGAAATCGATGTTAGACCCTTGTGCGGAATTACTTCGACAACCTTTTGTGTATTAGATGAAAGCGAAAAAGAAAATTTACTTAAATGTTTGGACTCTAATTGATTAAAATAAAACTATCTGTTGAAGGAAAATAAAATTTGTAAAATTTGGTCTGGGGTTCAAGTTAAATTTCGAGTTCGTTTCGCAAACAAAGAAAGATAAGTATCGCAAAAGAGGATTCATTCTCGGAAATGCTGTGTTAAGTTTAATAGTGGGTTTAACACCTAGAAAAACGCTCGAATGTGAGGAATAGGGGATACTTAAACAAAATTTATTTTACGGTTTTATCGATGAAAAAGGTTTACAGGTATTGTTTGAAAAGGACAATGTGCGTACTTGGACAAACATTTCTTATGTCAATATTATTTCAGTTTATGATATATATAATATATACAGTTTCTGATGTTTATATTAAACTTTTTGTTATAAAATTTACGCTCATGGCTCCGTTATTGAAAATTTAAATTTATTTATTTGAGATCGCACAAAAGGATAAAAAAATCGAATAACGAGCACTAGGGGAAATTGTAAGATCTTTACTTATCGTTCTTTCAGCACATTTGTCCACTAAAAGCAAAGTTAAAATAAATGTAGCTATGTGTTGATTGTATTTATTATATTTATGCAATTTGTGTATTTTAGGTCACTATTTGGAGACTTGTTCCATATTGGAATGGATACTTTTAATTATGGAAAAACAATATTACGTGAAATGATGTCCCGCGTTATGCCCCGTGTTTTCGGGGTACGTACAAATAGGTATACTCGCCAACGCAAAGTATATTATAAATATTTTAGTTCTAATTTGTAGTGGAATTTTATAGAAGTATGTTTTAGCTTATGCTTACGGCTTGTATAGATATAGAGGGTAGCAATGTTTAGACGACTTGGCCAGAAATGCTGACTTTTGTTAAGCTTTTTCCAGTTTTTATTTGGTTCAAAAATATACTTGATTTGTATTAATTACTTGTTTATTCTATTATAAAAATTAATCTTTAATTGTTCGAAGTATCAAAATGCAGTAAAAATTATAAAGTTATTAACTTTAATTAAAGAAATAAAATCAACAATCGAAAATTTTTTATTACTGTAGATATCTTCAGATAGGTAAATAAATTGGTAAATTATAATTTGATGAGTAAAGTTGAAAAAAATCTAAAATAGTTTCAGTTTTCTTTCTTTCATTTTCATGATAATGATTTTTGAAAATTGAAAACTTATACTTTGTAATCTTGATGCACTTTATGCTAATAATATTTACACTTTCTTGGTGAAGGTAAAAACAAATACAAAAATGTAAATTTTTCCAGTATCAAGTGTAATTACAACAATTAAATTTTTTGTTTGCATTACAATTGTTAAATAACATGTCTACTTGCGTATATCAGCTTAATAATGACGTTGTCGACGTCATTACTTGAAATTAGCTACAATAAAACAATATAACAAATTTCAATTTACTTACTTGAATGCAGTGAATAAACACTGTATCAAGCCTAATTTTAACAAAATAAAATCTTTAATTACATCAAATAACTTTATTTAAGTGCGAAGATAAAGCTTATTAGTACAATTAACGTCTAGGTGATAAAATCAAATTGTATTTAAACTGAGAGTCTAAGGAAATTAGAACACTCCGAAACCACCACTTAATATCAGAATTAAATTTTCGGTATGTAAACTTTATATCAGTAATAACTTACTCATAATCGATACCTAGTTTCGTTAAGAATTTGACGATAAGAGAAAAATATATTTCGACAGAGAACGTCTTGTTCAAAATTGCACATAAAAGAATACGACTTCATTTTCTTTTATTTCGCCGCTAGTCCAACATCTTGTAAATATTTTACGAATCCTTATACCATACGTATAGCTGCTTTTGCATTCACAATGCAATTATTATTTTTAGGTCTGCTTGCCCCAAAATCCAATATTGACTTGTTCTAAGTATTTTGATTTTGTTGTTTCAGGCACCACTACAAAACATGCCTATCTCGGATTTTCGCAAGAAAAAACTTCTCTACGTTTTCAACGTATTTTTCGGTATGTATAAGCCTAAAATACCATAAATTGCAACATACAGGTGACACATAATCGTTATTAAAAACAATGTTATGAAAATAACGTCCTCAAACCCAAGTAACAAGTTGAAAAATTAGTTTTTCTCCAGTTAATTTTTCAACCCTGTTATTAAAAACGTAGAGTATGACCACCGCAGAGGATTTTAAAATTCTCTTCCAGATACGAATTAAATTTTACGATGAAAACGTGATGTTAATCAGCATTTGTGACACATTTATTACAATTTATCAGGAAAAATTTGCAAATTAGATGCTTCACGTAATTCAAAGGATCTTGACACGCTACTCCTCGCGCAACGAGAGCAAAATTAATTTTCAGGCTTACAGCAGTTGGCACAACGAAAGCTGATGCTAGAGTAATTTATCTGAAGTTTCTCTTTGTTTAGAAGAGTGAAATTTTATCTAAATAGGTGATGCATTGTTGCAATTATCGGCGAAGAATAGAGAAACTTTGTGGAAAAAATCAGTAAATAAGAAACTGATCACGAATGCTTAAATTTTGTAGTCACCATTAAACCAGATTGTTAGAACGTCGCGTCAAAGCTATAAAATCGTATTATATGCATCGTAAAGTAGAAAAACGTCTCAATAGTTTAAATGAAGAGCAATTATCGTGGTCTTTCCAATTTTCGGTGTATTGATCGCAGCGTTTTGTTCTTTAAAACTTTTTATTTTGTTTGCATGTATTTTACTGCACCGTTCCATCATCATTAATTCATTATTCATCATTTGTGACTTTTAAATGTACAAAGGTAGTCTAATAAATCTGATTTTTATTTAGATTTAAACTTCTGACTAAATGAAACAACACAATTACTGTCATTTTTTCGAGAAATGTATTGCAAATATCTGTCTTTGGAAATCAATCAATAGTATTAAGTGACCAAGCGTTTTTAACTTGAATAGTAAAAAGTGGACTGTAATAAAAAAAATTACTTTTCGTGTGTGGAAAAGTTTAAAATATTATGATTATTATGTGTTTGCAAGTTTTATAACTAAAGTTTATTCTTCACTTATAGTTAAGCTTTTATTATACCTATTATCCGCTTTCTTGTGATGTTTTAGTGACATTCTTGGAGCTTGTTACATAAAAATTGCAATCACAACTCTTCACATTTTTTTTTTTAATTTTCAATATTTTCGTTTAAAAAAAAACGATTACATATTTATATTAAACTAGTATTAATTTAGTTTCATTACGTTTTATAACAATAAATCAACATTTATACAAAAGCCCATTTAATAAACATAGAGGCCACCGTATTGCAACCTTTTGTGCTTAATACAAAAGCTACAACACAAAAAATAATTTATAAAAATGTGTTATACAAGGTGATTCAAAACTGTTGGGCCATCTCTTGGGTAGTGATAAAAACATCCAACTTTAATAAAAATAAAAATAGTCATTTTTACGAGATATAGCTCTTCAAAAGTTAGATTTTGGTTTAAGTTTTTGGCTGTTTAGAACATTTATTCTTTAGTTAGCGGAAACAACAGATCTTGTAACATTAAACAGACACTATAAAAAAAAACACCAGTTTGTGTCTAATGGTGTACAAAACATTTAACAAACTAGTAAATTCAACAATTAAACTTGACAACATAGGAAATAAGAGATAAAATGCCTATATGATAATATAGAAATTGACAGTTTTGTTTTTTTAATCTGCATTTATTTTTTTGTTTAGCTGAAAGCCTTCTATCACCACTAAAGAGTTGGCCCGACACTTTTGAATTACCTTAAATAAAAATAATAAATACATGAAAGTTGCTTCCAATGTTCGTGTAAACCGAAATTGAAAACATGTTATAGAGCAAACACAAAATGAAATAAAACAACTAATTCAAATAATTCAACCCAAGAGAATTTCTAATAGAAGACTACAACTAAACAGACATGTTGGCAACTATTGAACAAGTTGTGTAGTTGCTGTAGTAACTGGAAAGTTAACTGATATTATACTCGTAATATTCTCCTCACTATTAATTATTATTATCATTGTTTCGTCTTCATTTCTGCTTGTAATTGTTAACTGAATTTAAATTATTTAATTTTTTACAGATGTCAACCAGAGTGGAACAATTGACAGAAAAGATTTTGAGTTGGCGATCGAGGTAAGTTTTAAAAATTTATAATAAATAAAAAATTAGTTAGCTCCCGACAGAAGATTATGTTTAAATGTAGGTTTGTGAACATTTATCAGTGTTGTCTCCTCTTCACTTACTAAATTATACGTAAGTAATGGTGGCCATTTAAATCCAAGGGATAATAATAATTAATGATCAAAACCACAAAATGAGAAAAACGTTTGAAATGTGTTCCGTGACAAATGTACTGAGATGAATAATTAATCTCGTCTAGGTTATTTCATTACACTCTAATACTTTTCGGTCATAATCCGATTTTACAACTCCAACCGCAAACTTGGTATTTTTAGTAGAGAAGTAACAAGAATCAACAACACATTCTCGTATACTCTGTCGTAAAATGCAACTCGATTAACATTCAGGGTGTCGTTTCAAAGAACCTCATTGCAACAGTCACGTATTAGAACTTGAACTAGATAAATAGAATATTAGTTTGTGTAGTCTTTGATCGATAACTGAAATGAGTCCCAAGACGATTTCCCTTCCTCACTTATAGTCATTTTTCAAAATCTCGTTGAAAAGATGACCTACATCCAACTGTAATGTTGAATTCGATAAAATGCTGCCTCATTGTTGGAATTTTCAGCAAACTAAAGTTTGTATTTATCTCAATTTGTAGAGTCTATTTTTAACACATGCAGGAACTGAGATTACGTTTTTGCGTTACATTAATTAGCGAAATTAATTAGTAAAATGTGGAGTAAAGAAGCCTCTTAATGTTGTGCTTTGTATAATTATTCCGAATATTCTGTTGGGAGTTTATTGTTTGGAAAGTTTGTGACAAATGAATGTTTTTATTGTTTTTAGAAAATATGTACTCTGCGGGGGTGGTCCTCGGGGACTGAACAGTATAAAAAAACCTACGACAGCTTGATACAAATTTGGGACGGTCTGAGACAAAGAGCTGACTCCAACAAGGATGGACAGGTAATTTTTATCAAAGAAACGAAAGTTCTTATTTATTTCTTTTTAATTTACTAAAAAAACTTGTTTAATATTACACTAAAAATTATTTGAAATACTATCAAAACATAGTTAGTAATTATGCTTTAAAAATTAATAGTCGTATTTGCAATTTCAAACAAATTTAATGAAAATTTAACAATTAATGGTGCAATGTTATCCCGGCGCATCCGCCAATTTTAAAGGTATTTTTAAATCTTTGCAAACAACTTTTAATTGTTAGATATTTAAAAATATAATTAACAACAGTACATACCCTACCCGCCTTACTGGGTTTGAGGGTAAACTTTTTCTTGCGTGACTTATTGGTAATATAACACACTTATTGTGTAAACAACTATTTGTATAACTTCAAAAAAGAATTGTCGCGTGTGAAGTTCTCACATTTAGGTAAAGAAATCTTATTTAAGTTGTAATCAACTTTAACAATAAAACCTAATAAAAAACAATTTTGACTAATAACCACATACTATATTATTTATGACCATTGCGAGTGGAGAATCTAATAAAACTCTTGGTAACTTATTGTTTTCCCTGTTTTTGGGAGTAGTAGACAAACACTTTCTTATTTTTTGCAATTATCACAAATTTATGAAGTTGTTATTACTCTAAATTACTTTTTAAGTCCCATATTTTGAGAATATTTACATATTTAGTCAGATTCCCTTAACCAAATTCAAGAACTCGTATTTGTCCATTTTTTTTTTAATTTCCTCCAACATAACTGCAACGTAAAGCAATTATAAAAATATACTGGTTGTAAATAACGTTTGTCGAAAAGCTCGTTAAATTATGTCAATCACGTTTTCTATTATAAAAAACCCTTTTTGTATTTTCTACTTTTGCCACCAAATTTATGGTTATTTTACATTGCGTCAAAAGCAAATAAAAGAATTTCGTTACTAATTATTGGCAAAAAATATTGATGCATTTCTACTTTGAAACCAAATTAACAATTTATTGTCATTGTTTGAACGTGTTAACTAATTTAAAAATATACATTAAATATTTGCAAATATTTTCAATTTCGTATGAAATATTTTAAAGTGCTGTTTGTGTTTTAGTTAGTTTGAAACGTTGTAAACACGGTTACCACAAATACTGTTATTTGTTTCATGAAAATTTATTATAATTTGTGATATTTAGTGCTGCAATAATTTTATTTAATGACTTCTTTTCATTAATTAATTTTTTACACTTTGATGTTATGCACATTATACACTACTCAAAACAATTAAAGGAACAATTTTTTGGTGATTTTTGGCTGAATCTCATCGAAAAATAGTCGTATCTGGATTTTCAAAGAACCATTCTAAGGCTTTAAGTTTCTAGTTTTGAGATTTTTCGGCAAATTTTTTTTCTGTGCTACCAGTTATCAGGCAAGCGCAGGGAATAGAGCGAGAATAAAAAGGAATTTTTTTTTGTTTCTGGTCCACGAACTTGGGGAATTTTTTTTAGTTAAATCAATGGATGTGCCGGATAGCCTGCTCATTCGGCTTTAATATGCCTTTTTTATATTTTCTTACGTCATTTTGTCGCTGAGATATCTGACTTTTAATGAAAAAGGATCCTTTTGTCTTTGATCATCGATATCTCAGCAACCAATAACCGCACAGAGAATGTAAGAGTAGTTCCCAAAAACTGAAATAAATGTCTTACAAGACCCTTTAATGATTTTTTCAAAAACAATTTTTTTTACTCTAAACTTTGACTTGAAAGAAAGAGAAAAAAGTAACTTTATGAATTGTTTTAGTAGTAGTATTCACAAATATTGATGGGGAGATTAATGTTTTAAGGTGTTTTTACAGCTTAATGTACCCTGCATAGCTCTGTAAACTTTTAAATCGATCCATCACACCGTATTCTCGGACCAATTGTTCAAAGTTTTACAAAAGAATTAAAGGAACAATCGTACATATTGTTTTCGAATATCGTCTAATATTCGTCAAAATGAGAAAAACAATTTTTTTCAGCTTTTTTTTACAATTTTACATTAGTTAAATTTGAAATAAATTCTTAAAAAATATTGAAAAAATATTTTTG